AATTAACAATTTTTTTTAGAAATTTTCAAATGAAAACTCCTTCCAATCAATGTAAATTAAGCATAGTATTTTGTTTATTGGAGATATTAATCTATCAGCTTAAAATTTCAAACTAAAATAAAAGCTTAAAAAAATTTTTCATCATTAAAAATTCATTTTAAATGTTAGGTATTGTGTTTTTGTGGAGTTACCTAAAAATGCAATAAAACTATGACATAGTTTAGTTAGGAAAGCTTTTAATTACTTTTATAAATAAGATATTTACAACACTAGCGTCTTAAGAAATAACGTGTTCTTTTTTTTTGATGAGTAATGAATTGTTTTCATTTTTTAGAAATTTTAATTAGAATAATTTAAGTTTTTAATTCAGTATTAATTCCACACTTTAGATGATATTATTAAGTGAAAACTATTTAATAAATGGAAAAGGTTAGTACAAATTAAACACCAATATTTTTAAAAGAATTTGTTGTATGTGTATAAATGTACCGATTTTGTAAATACAGACACCCATATATGACATCAGAAAATAAGAGCAATATTTATAGTAAATTTAAAGCCAAAGTTTCTAAAATTCAATAAAACATTAGATTATGGAAAATATTTTCGTAAATTTTTAAGATTACTGAGTACTTAAAAGTTATTTATAAAAGGCACTTGCGTCATTTTCTTCAATTATGTTTTCCATATAAATTTCCCATGGAACAAATTAGATCTGTCAGCACATCAACAGCTACTGTTGGGTTAAAAAAAATACACATTTTTGTGATATTTTGAATTTAAAGTAAATAGTATGTGTTTCAAACCAACTTAATTATACTTTACATCAGCTAATATTCCTCAAAGTTTCAGAAAATATTTTATTTTTGGAAGATTTTTCAATAAAGAGAATTACAGTGCAATAAATGTGAGCTAAATATGGTGTTAAAACCTGGCAATTTACCTGATTTTTGCAGGAGTTTCCAAATCAATGTGTTTTTCACTGCAAAAAGATGCTAAAATTTTCTATACTGATTTATGGCCACACAAGAAGAAATATTTTTAACACAAATTTTGAAGGTTCCAGAAAGAGTTAAAAAAAATATTTAATAATAAAAAAAATCCTTTGGACTTTCCTCTTAATAATAACAAAAAAATTGCTCATAAAACTTTTTTTTTTTATCAAGTTTTGGGCAGATTTTTTTTATCATGGCATGCTCATTTTTTAGCAAATTTATGGAGCTATCTAAATATATTGGATATATATATTAAACTGTTGTCATTTACTTAGTACAGACCAATAACAAATTCCTATTACTATGTCATAATTATTATGGGTTGGTTTTTGTGCAATGTATCAGTTTTCATGAGAAACTTTAGTTAAATTGCTAGGATATGCAGACGGAAAAGTTCTTGTGTCCTTTTAAGAGTTTTGTGCATCAGGGACACTGGACACAAACCTATCAGCATATTTTTAACAAGAGATGCAATAACCTGTTGCTTTCATTTTCAGGATTTATCACTGGATATAGACTCATTGGAATTTAAAATTAGTTAATCTAATGTGTTGACAAATGGAATTCATCAGTTTATGTTTGCATGAATTTCTTTAATGATAACTCATTTTCTTTTACAGACTGTTTTGATAAAACTAGATGAATTTGTTCCTGCTAAAAAGCAATCGACACGTTAATGCAAATCAGACATTCCTCGATCATTACCAAGAAGTAAAATCTGTTAATATTTTGGTTGACAATCTTGAAATCTTCACTCCGATAAAGTTCAAAATATCCAAGGATTAAAATTTGTTTCCTGTTAACATTTGCAAATCTGAATTAAATCTCAGGATCATACTGAAACATTATTTTTATGACTGAATTGTGAGTTCAATCCTCACTGACTGCCCCATACTTTCAGCCTCGTCCCATATTTAAGCTATGCTTAGAAAATCACTATACTGAAACATTATTTGTCTACAAGTATTGGAAAGGAATCTTATTTTGGGAGGGGGAGAGTTGTATAAATGCATATACACCAAATTTTTCCATTATGAAATAACATTTGCAATATCTGAAATTCAAGCAATAACTAAATAAACAAAATTTACAAACTAGTTCTGTGAAATCTTGAAAGTGCATGCATCATACATCACATTATTTTGAAGCAAGATGGAAGCATGCACAGAAAAGAAAAAATATACATGTGAAATCTGTGGATATACATGTTCAAAAAATTCAATTTTAAAAGTACACATTCGGATACACACAGGAGAAAAGCCGTATTCTTGTAAGCTTTGTGCATATGCATGTCCACGGAGTTCAGGTTTGAGAAAACACATGCGAATACACACAGGAGAGAAGCCATACTCCTGTGCTATTTGTGGATACACATGTAGAGATGGTTCATCATTAAAAACACATAGGCGAACGCACACAGGAGAGAAACCGTATTCTTGTGACATTTGTGGATATAAGACTTCCTTCAGTTCAGCTCTTAGAATACATGAGCGGACACACACCGGAATAAAGCCCTATGCCTGTGAAGTGTGTGGCAGAGCATTTTTACGCAGTTCCTCCTTAAAGCTGCATGTAAAAAGACATACTGGAGAGAAACCATGTTCTTGTGAAATTTGTGGATACATTTGTTCAACCAGTTCACTCTTAAAAAAACACATGCATACACACACTGTAGACAAACCATATTCCTGTGAAGTTTGTGGGTTTGTATGTTCAAAAAATTCCAACTTAAAATCTCACATGCGAACACACACTGGAGAAAAACCCTATTCTTGTGATATTTGTAGCTATTCCTGTACAACAACTTCAACATTAAAAACACACATACGGACTCATACAGGAGAAAAGCCATACATATGTGACATTTGTGCTATGTCTTTTTCTACAACTTCTCTTTTAAAAAGGCACAAACGGATACACACTGGAGAAAGGCCTTATCTTTGCAACATATGTGGTTATACATGTTCAAACAGTTCTACTTTAAAAATGCATAGACGTGTACATACAGGAGAAAAACCTTATTCATGTGAAATTTGTGGTTCAGTCTTTTCACAGCAGTCATCTTTAAATACTCATATGCAAAAACACACTGGTGAATAATCATGTCCTGGAAAAATATATGCTTTCATCAGGTTTCAAATTTCAGGAGCATTTACCAAAACATTTGCTGGAACATATAGCTGGATTTTTATTTTCAGCCAACCTAACTTTAAATAATCTGTAGTGACAGGTACAACATGTTATGGCTTAAAAAGTGGGATCCTACAAATACATATTTGCATAATCTATACAAATATATTAAAAGAAAGGAAGAGCAAGATAGTGAAAAATATTACTTACTGTAAAGTGGTGAAACAAAACTGTAACAATAAAGCAGAAAAGGACTAATTGGGTATTGGTACTTGGTCTTCACAATTATGTATGCAACAACTAATGGGGGGCAGGGGGAGAAAAAATACAACTAGAGAATCATCCAAATAAATTAGACCGAAACATTTAAATCCAGCAAGCATTCCTTCAACTTAGAGAGGGAAGGTTGCTTAGACTTAATATAAAGGGTCTTAAGCAATTTCAAATAGTAATCTGAATCTTCCTGCTGACTAAAAAAAAAAAAACAGTCTCAGTAAAAGATGAGGTACACGTTGGATCATTTATTAAATGTTCTATAATCGCAGGTTCAGAAGTATTAAAAAGTATTTGCAAATTTTCATACTAACCTCTATATATCCTAGCTGACACTTTGTGTAGCCCTAGTCATTAATAAAAATCCACATAGTTTTTTTTACTTTGTTTTGTTTTTTTTTAGCTTGTAATTTTGATATTTTCTTTGTGTATTTGTTGTCATCACTAAATCATTAATTGAAAACCTGAATATTTCATTTACTTTTTCATTGCAATTTATGGATTGTTATTCTGTTTGTTAAATTAGCAGCATGAATTGAAGGACCAAAAATAAGTCTGACAGAATTTGCACTCAAAAACCTTCTTGGGAACTTAGTGAATTCAGAATTCATCACAAACTTCTTACATATTTTTTTTCTTTTTACCCTAATGTTAATACAAGGTTCATGGGATACTCAAAGTAGAGGGTTGCTCTGTGGAGTTGTATTAGCATAAGAAAGGGCAAGGTAACAGGAAAGATAGCTCATTCTAGACTATCCAGATTGAAAAGCACCTCATGAAGGCTGGAGAGGACTGTGGCTGAAAAGTTGTGATAATAACAAAAAAGATGAAGACAAAGGTCTGAGTGTTAATAATGTTAATTTCTCATCCCAGAAATTCAGACACTTATTCTTTCATTCTCTTCTATTACTTCTCAGAGAAAATTAGAATGTTACTTCTACTTAAAAATCACTGGTGTATTGCCATGTGAATATGCACACACACACACACACACACACACGAGGCTTACAGCCACATCAGGTTGTTATACTGGAACACACCTATTCTATAGTTAATAGACTCTCCCACATATAATAAGTAGTAGTAGTAGTAGCAGTCACGAAGTCACTCAGTGAGTTTGTCGGTCAGTCGATGTTGGACACGAAGAGTATCAGCGACCACCACTAGATTTCTCTGCGTCATTACCTATTATATCAAGTTCCTAACGTTTTGTATGTTGAACCTTTTTAGGACCAACTTAGTGAAATACAAGCCTCCACTGAAAACACTCTACAACACTAGTTGAAATAATGGTTCCAGTATGATCAATGAAGTTGAGCAATGTTGTGCCTGGTCAGTACCCAGATTGGTGGCCACTTGGTAATGGAAGTGTGGATATGTGGGTTGTGTAACAGTGAGCCGAGTTCCAATTCCAGTCATGTTCGTTATGTTCACTTATGTACAAATACTCTTGGGGAAAGGTATGAATCCACTTCTTTTCCCCCCAACTATGGGTTAATTAGTAAGATTATCTGCAAAAATGAAATAAAATTGTGTACAAAGTGTTTTGATTTCAGCATTAAATAACCCATAGATGATACACTGCTAAGCAATAGCAACCAACCACATCAGGTTAAAACACTGGTTCCTGTATGATCACCAAAGTTAAGCAAGGCTGAGCCTGGTCAGTATCTCGATGGGTGACTGTTTGGGGATATGAGGTACTGTAAACATGGATGTGCCGGTGGTATAATGGATAATGGCTTGGAATTGTTAATTAGAGAACCAAGTTCCAATTCCTGTTGGGTTCCTTATCTTCACTTATGCACAAATACCCTTGGGGAAAAATATGAATCCCTCCTCTTCTCTCCTCAGTTACAGGTCCATTAATAAGACTTGTATTAATATGACTGTTATTATCTCCCCCTCCCCTGCCAAAAGAAAAACATGACGTACAAAGCATTTAGATCTTTGCATTAAATAGAGATTGATATGCTGTAAAGATGAAAATGGGGTGCTGAATATAACATAAATTAGTGAAGTGACAAATTTTATTTGTATTGATTCTGTTTATAAGTTAAATAGAACAGACTAAGTCTTGGTTGGTAGCCAGACAAAGAGAAAGATAACTCTGAATTCAAAACTGGCAAAGTACATACTATACAACTAAGGAAAAGGTCATCGAATTAACAAGGACTATGATCCTGACTATAGTTGAACTTTTTTTTTTTTTTTATACATATATGCGAGACTTTCCCATTGTTTGATATATGAGGCTCCAACAATGCAGTACTTAAACCAATCACCCAGGCTACCTGAATATATTTGATTATAGTGGTAAAAGTTTGCGCAGAACTAACCCCAGTTTTTGCAAGACCCAAATACAGAGAAGTGGTGCACAGTGTGAAAGGTATAAATCTATCGCATCAAAACTATGGGTAAATAGCAGAACAGACTGGACCCTATACACTTGGGTGGCAATTGGCCTAAGACAACTGAGAATTCAAAACCTGATGGGGGGTTTGTTTGGGAACCATGTGTTATATATATATATAGTCAACTCTCCTGTCGAATTCGACGTATAAGGGTCAAGCAGATCAGTTTCCAGGAAACCGACAGCTCTACACCGGCACATGAGATTTGATTACAGTGGTGAAGACTGTGCAGGACCATCCACACTTTTTGGAGGGACGAATACAGAGACCTGGTGCACTAAGTGCCACAAGGTTCCTCAAACGACCCTCCGCAGGTTTTGAATTCAGAGTTGTCCTTCTCCTAGACAAGTTGCCATCCAAGGCTATAGAACCCAGTCTATCCTGCTATTTACCCATAGCTGGAGGGAGAAGAGGATTCACACCTTTCCCAAGGGTATTAGCATGTAAGTGAATGTAATGGATCCGACTGAAATTCGAACTTCGTATATATATATATATATATATATATATATATATATATATATATATATATATATATATATATTTGGGGAGAAAAGTGAATTTGTAACAGTAACTACTGCTGCTGATGCAAGACTCTTTGTTAAGATGAATTGAGTTCTCCAGTCATTGGCGTGTCTGTCTAAAAATAAATACGTCTAAATTCACCTTCATTCTTGTCATGCGCCAATGGTTTAGGGGTAAAATATATATGTGTGTTTGTGTGTACACAGTTGTGTAAATCATAGCAGCATGGATTAAGGAGCTGAGCTACTATCTATTGCTCTGCTGTATATATAGAATTTTTGATATATCAGCTTTTTATAATAATAGTGGGATAATTTTTTTAGTCCGTATGCAGGTTCTTCCATGTTTGGACAGTTTAATAGTGAATTAGTCTTTTTAAAATATTTTCCATAGATTCAGCTTTTAATAAATTTCTTTTGACCCTGAGTGAGTTGTGATTATGTTAACTTTTTTAAAGTTGACACTGTTGTTGTATAAGATTTTGATTTCAGTTTGTTTGGTGTGTTTATTTTGGATGTGGCAGTTTAGTCCGAAATTGAAAAAGGTCTTGTAATATATATATAGTAACAAGATTGTGCTTACCTTCACCCTCAGTGGTTGACATAAAAGGGCCTATCAGGGTTGACACCATTAAACACCCCACCACCATAAAAAAGAAATGGTTGACTCAGGTATTATTAGGTTTTTTTCAGCTACAGTACTTGATAATAAAAAATAAAAATTAAATGTTTACTTAACTCTACTATGTTTGAATGCATCATTTAAATTTGGAGCTAAATTAATCAGTTTATTTGAATGATGAATTTGAACAGAAAAGGCCATCAGCAAACTAAATGTCGAAAATTTGGAAAAAGTTCATCATGTAATCAATAAATATTCTTACCGAACCATTGATAAGTTCATGTGAGAAAATTTTTTGAAAAATTATTTTTAAGCATTTTCTCATATGAAGCAGGTGCTAAAAAATATTGCATCTTTCTTCAACAGTTCTTCTAAATCATCAGCTTTCAATGTCTGAAGTCTTCTGACATAGTTGATCACGAAATCACCTTTTTCCCACTTGAAAATCATTTCCAACACATGCTTGCACCAAATGAAACTTTTCTATAGGTTTCAGCATTCCATTGCCTATCTTCTGCTTTAATTTTTCCCAGATTAAACACAAGTAAAATGTATTGATTGAATGGACATTTTATATTCAGGTATGATTTTTATCAAAGTAGAGTAAAATTATCATTTTCCTGCAAACAATTCTTAATGCACATGCAATAAAATCTGAAAAAAAATCTTTAGTTTTCCTTACCATTGTACAATTTATGGCATTGCATACTTTTCTATCAGCAGGTAATTATCAATAGATGTTTCTATGATAATGATGATACAACAATATAGAGGTGTACCTCGAAAACTCATGATGACCAAAGATTGGAAACTAATATCTCCTCAGATCTAGCTCTAATATCTCAGTGGGGGGGTGGGAAAACTGGCTGGTTACATTCCAACATTGCTGATCGGACCCTGAACTATTACTAGTCACAATGAGTGGATGTTTTCTCAGGGAGGACCTGTGCCTTGAGCAACTTTTGGCCCTCAGACTCGAACCAGACCTCAAGTGGAACTTGTACATATGATCCATCACTAAAATGCAGGAAAAACTGTTGATTCCCTGTACCGCTCCAGCAAGTACCTGACTCCTTGTGCTATCCGCTACTTTTACAAGACTGCTGTTATATTTCATCAGGCGCTGTCCGGTCCTCACTTTCCAGTCTCAATCGAGTTCAAAATTGTCTCCATGTCCTTGTGGGTGATAAATTGTTTTTCACCTTACAACCCATCTCACAGATGAGATATAGCAAGCCTCTCACTGCTCTATCACTACTTCTATGGAAAGTTCTTGGATTAACTGCATTCCTTGCTTCCACCAGTTTTGACCTTCACAGCTAGAACCTGCCATGTTATGCTCATTTAGCAAACCACTGTCATTTCCTCCATATTTCATAGGTGAGAAGTTGCACTCAAACAGCTTCTTCCCATGAACCACTGCTCTGTGGACTCCCAAGAGGATATTTTCTTGATCACTACAATTTCAAGTCTAGGGTTAATCGTTATCTTACCCACCTATCCACATAAACTCTGCCTCTTACGCTTTAACCCTCTATCTTGAGTGGCTTCCATGCCTTGTATAGGGTGAACCTCACTATAAAAAAGTGGGGGGAGGGTTAAAAGGACATGCAGGTAGTGTCATGGTTAGTACCTTGGAATAGGGAAATAGTGAAAAATAAAGAGTGGCCTTTAGTTAAAGCTTTATTTAACCAAAGTAATTTAGTGGCTTCTGCTTACCAAACACAAAACTGCTTTTTGAAAATGAGGAATATACCATTCTAGTCTACAGTGATAGTGGTGAAAAGGTATAAAACTACAATTAGTATGAATTAAAAATGACTTGCCGTTAAAATTAAATTAAGATATGAAAGATAACTTTGTTCTGATATAAATTTAAAGGCCAAGGGAAGTAATCGATACAGAACTTTGAAATATTTCCCAACCAAGGTATCCAAATTAAATTATTATTCAGCAAAAGAAAAAAAAAAATGAATTAAAAAGAAAAAAAAATCTACCAGTCTGAGCATTGATGTTTTCGAATAGACACTGCAGGCAGAAGTAATTTTTTTTTCCTTTAAAATACTTTTTCTATAACATATCAATTTTCCATGTTTTTTAAAGTTATATTTGTTAAAAATTCACTGTTGACTCCACTACGAAAGAAAAACAAAAACGATTTTTTTAAATTCGTAATCGTGAGAGCTTAATCAGTTAAAATGATTAACAAACGAACAATGTCGCAGCTGTTTGGAAGTGGGGAGTTTTTTTTTGGGGGGCTCTGAAGGCAGTGTGATCAATATACAGAGAACAAACAATTAAAAACAAAATGTTTCATATTCGTGATTCCGAGTTCTTTTCTAATCGCAGTACCTTTTCTAAAACTCCATTCCAAAATTTTTGTGAAGTAAATTTTACAAAAATAAAGCTACCTTTTACCTACAATGTACATAGTCATATTACTCTTGGTATACTATAAATTAAGTAAAAAAAAAAGCAGCTAAATGTGAACATGTTCAAAATTTAGTAAATTGTTTAAAATCAATACAAAAGCTTTCTGAGCAGCAGGCATTCATGGCTGACCCCTCGAACAGAGTATGGGACAAGGGTCAAGGCTGAGAGATTTTCTTTTATTCAAACACTCTCCTCGAACAGAATGTAGCACAAAGCTGAGTTTTAAAAATGCGTGTCCCATGTTTACCTGGGACTACGAAAAAATGGGTAACTACTTTAGCATTTTCCGAGTAGGACGTCAAGGATTTACATAGTCTTCCCAATTCTAACAAACCAGGCAAAGTATTGCCCACACCCTGGCTTTTTGTTTGATTTTTGAGCATTACATCAATAATTACTTCCGCCGTTTTAAAAAGTAAAATTATTTTTCGTCTGACTAATCTCGATGACTCAAAACCTAAGATGTAGACAGTTTTCAATAGATTACCGTTTCCACATTTCGGTGGAAATCAAAAACAAGTGAAAAAAATATAAAATTATCCTAACGCGTTTTCCTAAACGGGACTAATTATTGTCTGACACCGTTTAGTGAAATGCTTTGTCTATTCAAATGAATTTCGAAGTTAACGTTTACATACATTTTGTTTTCTTAACTTTTTCTTAAGGTGGCTTTTTTTTAGTCATAATATTCAACATTATTGCTGCTAATTGAACG